ATTTGCTACAAGAAAGCAACATGAAAATTCCCCATGCTCATTAAATAACCAGCAGCAGTTCCTAACTTGTAAGTCGTGATACTAGAGTTGGTCAACCGCCAATTTGACGGGAATTGTCATTTGGCTTTCTGATAACAATTTATTTACGCTAGTCAGTGATTTTTTTGATCATTTTAAATTTAAACGATACTTCTAATCTGCAGCTATTATACCAAACCGACTATAGTTTATTTGACAATACTATGGCTTATTTGTTAGGAGTCTATATAGTTTAATAATTTTAGAAATTTTAATTCATCCCACTTCAACTCTTTTTACAAAACTATCTACATACTTGACGTAAAATGAAACCTGTGCGCGACCTGTGTTTTCAGCTGTTAGTATTTCAATTATAAATTTCTATAGCACGCGCTTCTATGGCACGTGCTTCTATGGCACGTGCTTCTATGGCACGTGCTTCTATGGCACGTGCTTCTATGGCACGTGCTTCTATGGCACGTGCCATAAAAAATGTGTTTGTTTTGTTGATAAATTAAATCAATTAAAAATTTGTAAAAAAAACTATGACGTCAATAAAGTATAAAATAAAAATATAATTAGATATTTAGAATTCAAAAAACATAATAGTTACCTGCAAATGTGCAGTGATTTTGGAGTAAAATTATTATTTTTATTATATCACAGCTTGACAAATATTTTCAAGGGATTTGGGAACAATTGGGAAAGGTTGGAAATTGTTGAAATAAACAGATAGACAAACCATCTTGCCACAGAGTAATATTTATTAACAAAGATAAAACATTTGTTGAATTTTTATCATGAGACAAATGCCCCCGAGCGCTATGATATTTACCATTTATCTGACTATTACAAGCAGTGTCATATTGATGAATATCTACGAAGATACCTGGTAATAATAAAGAAAAAAAACACTACAACAAGTGGGAACTCTTTAACTATTGAAATATTAAAGACGTTTCTGCAATAGAACTTAATCTATTTCAATTAAGGTAATTCAGAAAAAAAATTATCATTTAAACAAAAACAAAAACTAGTACATGCTAGAGCTAAAAATATTAACAAGAGAAGAAAGACGCATGTCTTATAAATAACTAGAAAAGCAAATGAAAATAGTTTTCTTTGAGCCCATACAAGCATTAAATTTAGCACTCAAAAGTTCACATATTATACCTCTTGCTCATATTATGCAAGATTCATAATATGAAGCTTTGTTGAGTTGCAAATTAAACCATGGACAGTTCAAAGTTAGAGCTATATCTCTATGGCATATTGTGAAGATTTTTAAAGATGCTAGCAAACATTGCCCTGTGCTTGAAGATGATTGGTCCGTGTGTGAAGAGTTTTATTTTATGGTTAGGTTGAGTTTCAAAAGCGTTGCCCTGGATTTTTTAATATAAAAAAAAATTGGCAATATTGATCCTATACGCCTTAAAATTGTGTCCAAATAAAGTGCACATCATATACCAAAACATATCTGGTATTGATATCATCATTTAAAATGTAAATAAGTATTTAGAATTCGCTGCAAAGTTTGTGAAAGTAAATCTTTTAGCTAAAAAATCCTAAATAAAGCTAAAAACCTACCTATCTATATCAAGTTAAACAGAAAAAAATTTAAGCAGTTGTGTTATACTAAAGATTACGGCTGCTTCAGCTATCCAAGAAATGTTAAATAAAAAACTTCAAACTAGTCTTTTTCAGAGACGCGTAAGCTCTTGACGCCGTTGTATACCTATATATAAATGACTTTCAGCGTGAGGAGGTAAATCAAAACGTAGCGAAGGGGTCATCCATAATCTACATCACGCTTTAGTGAAGGAGGAATAATGTTTTAGTTATGACTTATACTGAACTTGTTACTAAAGAGTTACGATATTGTGACGAGGGGGAAGAGGGGTCTAAAACAGTCAAAGATGGCGTGACGTAATTTGTAGACAACTTCTAGTTAGCCGCTAGTCTTTGCCAAAAATCACATTACTTTTTAGTTTTTTTATCAATTTATTCAAATTTTTTTTAAAGAATTTTTCCCCCAAGATAAAACTTTTTTTATTGTTTAACACAACTGATGGTACAACGAACATAAAACGATTAGCAAAAGATTATCAAACGACATAAAACGCTTATCAAAGCTGTTAGGACATGAACGTATTACATGTACTACCCATAGGATTCACCTGCTGTTAACCATAGGTTGCTTACAAAAAATTCCTAAAAATTTTTTAACTGTACGCAAAACACTTTGTAGTACAGTTAAAAAACACAAGTCACTTTGAAAAGTTGCTGATGACGAGTAGCTAATTTTAGATTTTTAAATTAAAACTCAAAAAAAAGCATTTATCCTCAAGTAACTAATTCTCATGTGTGCAGTGCCTTAAAAAATAGTTTCCCAACCATATAGAATAGTACTCTTAAAATGATTAAATCTATTTTATATCTTATTTTAAGTTTATTTTTATACTGTGTTAAAAAAAGAATGATTGATGTTTTCTTACTGAAAAATTAGAATTTCTACAAAAAATTCAAAATTTTTTATCTCTATTTCGAGAATTGACTCTACTTGTAAGTGAGAAGTCACAAAACTTGTCGTGTTTTCCAATGACGGATTAGGACTTTTCGGGGCCCAGGGCTATTTTAAAGTAAAAAACCCGTTTTCATGGGCAACGACAAAAATTTGTAAAATAAAGACTTTTTGAAACAGCTATCGCTGATATTTATTTAAGTTTAGATTTTATATTTATTTTATTGAATTAAGTAAAGTGATTTCTTTCTGCTTTTCTTTTCCGTAAACTCGGCTATCACGTCGCTGAAATCTATAGTTTATAACAATTTTAATTTAGTAATTGATCTTGCTATATTACTTAAACAACTATGGAGCATTGTTGATCGGTGCATGTTCTTTACTCTTTTATGAGCAGAGAATGATCTCTCAGCCTCGCAATTTTTTCTGGGAATTGTTAGAAACAAACAATATTCTATATAAAAATTTGGAAATACATCAATAATATCGGTTTCAACAATCTAACTTAAAACATGCAGAGGAACCAATGTGGTTTTAGTTTCAGAATTATCTTTTTATGAGAAAAAAACCTGGAGGCTGCAACTTTAGTAATGATACAAATTGTTCTATTTAAAAAATGAAACTATCGTCTAAATAATTTGATTACACTTCTACAATTTTTTTGCGCTAACTTCCAATTCAATGATACTAATAGTTAACAGCTTTGACAGAAATCCAAATAACTTATTTATGTTGCTGTAATCATCACTTCTTATAGTTATTTGTGTCACAAGTTTGTTAAATATTGAAAAAAAATGGATTCAGTTGAAACTTGTCAGATAGGTTTAAAGTATCAACTTGGTTTTCTCCCTTGCTCAATTTTTTGATTACTTTTCTGTTGTTCTTATCAGAATAGTTTTTTTTAATAAACGAGCTAAGTTTTTTTGATACATTCTCAAATCTCTTAAAGTTGTTTCTTAAGTTTTTTACAAATTCAATTAGTGAAAAGTAACATACTGCTTGCTGTATGTAAATCTAATTCAACTTTTTAAAGAAATTTGCTAACTTTATTTAACCTCATAAGTATGTAATGCTAAAGCACAACGATGAATGCAAACTCTTAGTTATTATTAACTATTAGTGATCTTATTTAATAAACACACAACTTCATGACGAAGATCAGACTTTTCTTCTGTATCCTCAGTTATAAGACATAACGTTGCATGAATCCCATTTAAATTTTCGATTAACTTTTTTGAAGCACCTAACCTACATGACTATCGTGTATCTGATAGACGCTTAAGTATAGCATGCTTTTCCTTCAATAAATCCCACAAACTCTGCAGAACGCCAAAATAGTCGATAGAGTTGATGCATTCACTTACACTGTACTGCTGTACTAAGTTTAAAGAATGTCCAGCGCTCTTTTAAACGTGCTTGTAATGCAGAATTTTACCAGACATATTGCTTACATCATTGTACGCTTGTCAATTGCTTATATCAATACCATTTTTTTCCAGTAGATCTAAAATGCTAGTAATTAAGGATTCACCATTGTGGGTTTTAAAATGTGGAAAACAAAAAAATTGCTTATACACGTGGTCATTTAGATAATAAAGAAATATCACAGTAAGTTGATACACGCGAGAAATATCAGGCGTAGAATCTAAGATAATTCCTCGGTATTTTGCTTTTTTTATTTCGCTAATAATGTGTGTTAAAACCTTTTGAGACATGATATCAATTAGCTCTTCACAAATAGTTTTAGACAAATAAGATACATTACCTTTGCCTTTATTTTCAAAAGTGTCAATATGTTGCTTTAAAACTGGGTCAAATTGAGTCAACAGTTCTAACACGCCTAAGTAATTTCCGTTATTTTACGATTATATAACTTCATTATGACATCACAATGTTAAACCTCTTCCGGCTCAAAAACAAATAGCTGCTACTTTAATCTGGCTTTAATCTGGCTTGCCATATATTCATCGATATGAGTACTTTATTTTATGAATTCTATTCACTTCATCATACATTGAATATGTTCCTAGTTGTTTTCGTGCCCAAAATAGTTTGTTCAGCTTTTTTCCAATTGTAAAAACCCCTTTTGACAAATACATTGTCGTAATCGGTTGAAAACTATTTGCAAAAATAACAAAATATGCATCCAGTGGATTCAGAAAACATTAACCATTTTACATGTCACACTTTTCGCCATTATTTATTACTTTTTGAAAATATTTAACCGAATTATATCTATACTGGTTTTTGAACATTCGTTTCGAAGATTCAAAATTAGAGTCTTTATTTTGAAAAAAAAAACCTACTTCTTGTTTAAATACTTTATACGCTCATTTTCCTTTAGTTGTAATGGTCATAAAGAAAGGTCTTCATGTAGATTAGTATCTAAGGAAAAAAAAAATCATGATAAACATGAGCTTAATAAAAAGTAAGAAGTGTATGTAATGAGTGTCATAAAAAGTGACAACTTATAGAAAAATAATATTAAATGCCTAAAAAATAAATTGCTTGTTTAGCAGATGTTAGAGGTGTCATTAAAGATAGTGAAAATTGGAGTACCTGAGTCAATATCATTATTACGCATTGTAGATTCAACACTTTCAACCTCGCAAATTTTATTTTAAGGATCGAGGCAGGCTACCTCATTTTCCGTGTTATTGTTTTTATCTTTTCTTTCATTGTTTTTATTATTTTCTACAGTTTGTGGAAATTGCATATTGATTTGGTTTGATGGAAAAAAATTTGTTATTTTTGGTTACCATTTCCTCTCTCTTTTTCTTCAATCTCCTTTTAGAAGCTCTACTTTCATATTTTCTTAGCATATTAATAATAACTGTATAACCTGAAAATTGTTAAGCTGTTCACTTTTTCTGTTGAATCTTCTCTTTCGCAAGTTTAGCGCTACAGCATCTATATGCATTCACACAAGAATTCCTTTGTGCGTAAGTACAAAAGAACTGTAGAGTTGCAATCGTTAATACATAAAGATAAAGAGCCTTTTATCTGCACATCTATGAGATAACAGACTTAAAAACAGTCATTTCAAGAATTTTCTTAAATTAAAAAAAATTTAAACTTAACTAATATTTCTTCTGACAACATAATTTAGGTGAGCTAACAAGCTACGATATAATTTAGGTGAGCTAACAAGCAATGATATAATTTATATAAGCAAACAAGTTATGATATAATTTAGGTGAGCTAACAAGCTATCACAAAATTTAGGTGAGCTAACAAGCTATGACATAATTTAGGTGAGCTAACAAGCTATGACATAATTTAGGTGAGCTAACAAGCTATGACATAATTTAGGTGAGCTAACAAGCTATGAATAATAGGCGGTTAGCCAGCCACAAATATTTGGCTAGCCAGACTTTATTCTGTCATGAAAGTGACATTTGATGGTCAGGAGGCTTATCCAGGTGTAATAACAAACTATGTAATTGCAGTTATTCATAAAAAGAAAATAAATGATGTATAAATACAGAAAGTGGAAAAGGAATTTGTATCAAAGCCTTTGCATTAGAAAGATTTACTTTGGAAATTAGCAACTCTGCATTGTGTTTTGTTTAAATGTATTATATTTGTGTTAGGTATTTATATTTCGGATCATAAGATGGGCTAAACAATAAATTAATAAATATTATTATATATAAAAAAAAACTAAATATGTTATAGCACCGTCGTCGTCTAAGCTGAATTTATTTTTGTATAATGTAGTTGTTAATTTTTATATTATCCTTTGATAAAAAGATTGCATATACATCTTCGTGCTTAGTAAATTTAGGACTATTTTTGATTGCAGCATTTAGTAAATCAAGGATTGCTTTAGATTAGCTGCTTTAAATGCTCTAAATCAATTGGTCTGTTTTAAAGATTTAATAGCATTTTAAAAAAGTTGCATTAAAAGTTGCATTAAAGTTGCATTTGCAACTTTTTATTGCACTACTTTTATGGCACTAAAGTTGATTAAACATCCTTCATATGTTACAAATGTCAATGATAAAAACAATAATTTTTTTTTGTTAGCTGTTAAAGACCCAATTGCTTTTGGAGAGAAAATATATTTATTTTTAAAACTTTGTTAGAAGAAGCTACAAGCAGGGCCGGCGCGAGTAGGTGTCACGTGGGATGGATTGCCATTACAACTTTTGCCGACTAAAAAAAAAAAAAAGGTCCTCGTTTTCCAAAATTTGCGCCTACTGCCATAACGACATTTGCCGACTGTCTAACCTATATCGAAAGGGTCGATATTTGCCGACTAACTAGTCTAAAAGGGTCCAATTTGCCAACTAAGGGTCCAGTTTGCCGGCTAAAAACCATTGATGGGGGGTGTCACACCCCCCACACCCCTATCGCGCCGACCTTAGCTACAAGTGTAAACAGTAAGAAATTTTTAAATAGCTTGAAAATATATAAGACTCTTGCTATCATAGAAGTTTACAAAACGAAACTTGGTTTCGCATAAATTTTTGGTTTACATAAATATGGGAAAATAATCTTAAAATAAAGTATTACAAACTTTTTTTTTAATTCACTTTGGCTAGAACATAGTTATTACAGATTAAAATAAAGTATAAAGCAATAATCAGACTTCCTGATAATACTTGATACTTACTCAATACTTACTCGATACTCGATATTATGAGCACAATAATAAATTTATAACAATAAATGTTTTACTTTTATTCAAAAAGCAATTAAAACCACTGCAGTTTTAGGACTTTAAACTTGATAATTTTATCTAAAAACACTGGGTAATTTAAGCATGTTCAAATTACACAAAAATGGTATCTTTAAATAGAGTCAAAAATAAATATTTTTATGTATTGTTTTCCAAACTAAAATGGAACGGATTTCTAGCAAACATATTTTTCTTTATGAAAAAGTAAATATCTATATTTCAACATCAAAAATTCGCGCCACAGATTCTATTGTGTGTAAATATAATATTTTAACGAAACAAAAAATTTAACAGTGTTTTAATTAGAAGAATCCCGCTAATTACTGCGTATAAATTTACGCTGGTTATACTGCTTTCTGTTACCTCCACATAAAGTCAATTCAAAAAATACAAAGCGGCTTAAACTTTACAATCCACATCTTGGAAATCTTTTAATTCATTCATATTACCTAAATGCGGTAGTGGTGTAGTGGTAGAGCGCTCGCTTCATAAACGAGTGGTTCCGAGTTCGATCACCACCACGTCCCTGGTAGTACCGCGCTCAACTCGTTTCTCCGCGCAGCGGCCTTGTTCGTCAAGGTTCGTGTTTCGGAGTTATAGAGTTGAGAGAGGGTTATAGCCACAAAATAAGTAGCCTCCTCGTCTGTAGTGGCCTTCTCGGCCTTGAGGAGGTGAAGTAAAATTAAAAAAAAAAAAAAAAATGCTCATATTACCCAAATCTACCCTAATGAGAAAATAAAAACTCATAAATAGTTTATTGATTTTTAAATTAAGATATTAAAGTTAAACAAAATAGATTATTTGTTATTTTAAAATATGCTGGAATAATTATAAAATCAAAATACCAAAAAATCTTAAAGTTGATTTCTTTCAAAAAAAACTATTTTTACTTTCTGTTGTGTGTCAGTAACGCTTACTATTTAATTTCACCAAATGGAACATTATTGTAAGTATTTATGCTTCTAGGTATACTCTGAGATGTAATAAAACTGATACTTATTATTTCTGATGATATTTTAAATTTTCAGTAAAAAAATCATTCAAAATTAATGATTTGTTTTAAATTGCGTTTATAAGAATAACAAATAAGACATCATATGTTGTAGCATAGTAACGTAATGCATCATACTCTGTAATTTACTATTTATTAAAAACTAGTTATCAGCTCGTAAAGGAGCCATTCTCAAACTAAAAAACCGTTACAAATAATTTTTTTGCGCATAAAAAAATGATGTAATTTTGACGTAGTAAATTCAATTTTTCAACGGTCAGTCATTATTTAAATAAAGATTGTTTTTATTAGTAGATAGAACTTTTTATTCATATTAGTTTAAGAATTAGACTCATGTTTTTATATTAAAAACAAAGGAGAACTATTTTTTACTCACTAAAGTGTAAAAACATTTATCCTTGTTATTAACTTATTCATTTCGAAGGCTTATGGGATTTTTCTTAACAAAAAGAAGAAAATAAAAAAGGAGAGTTTCTTTACTAGTAGTATTATATACTGCAAGAGTAAATTTATCTTCTTTTTTTTTTTCGGCACTAAAATTTTGGTTTAAAATTTAACATTTTTTTCAAAAAGAAACAATTTTTCCTGAGTGTTTAACTTGATCGATTTTATTAAAAAAACAATTTTACTAAAAAATTTTAACTGCTCATTTGAAAAAGTTTTGAAAAATTTGGTTTTTTGAAAAAAAAGTTAAGTTTGTTAAAAGTAAAAATAAAATTATTTTTTTTAAATAGACTAAAACTTTCTTTTGCAATTAAAAATGTGTAGTAAACACAATTGTCAATTAAACCCGTTATTATGAAAAGTCTAAAACTTTCAACAGTTATTTAAAAATTTAAATTAAAAACTTTGTTTTTTTTATAAGAAATAAAACCTACAAAAATTACACGTTTTTTACTTATCCACTTCTATATTTAGTTTCTTTAGCACCATAGACGTTGATAAAAAAAAAGTTGATAAAAAAAACATTTTTCTGTTGATTTTTTAATTAAATGAACTTGTGTAGTTTGTATAAATGACGAGTTGACATTTCGAAATAATGTTTTTTAAAAAATTTTAAAGCTAATTTATGATAACTTATATAGGTAAACAATTTGTAAGTTTATTCATAACAAGAATTTTTATGAGTTTTTAGAAATAAAATATGAAAATAAATTTTTATAACAATTTAAAAAAAGTTTTAGCAGTTTCTTTTTTTATTTTTGTAATTATTCATTCATATATAAACATGCGCTAAGAAGCCAATAAACTTGTTATAAAAATGATTGATAAACAAACTCTTATTTTTAATAAACAACAACAAACCAATAAGCATAGTTTAGATGTTATTTTTCGGTTTACTTGATTTTTTTTTATATTTTAAGTATTTTAATCACTAATAAATCCTTCTTTACTTATCTTCTTTGATTTTTATCGTTCAGCTAATTACTTATCTTGATTTATACATACAAAACAAATCTTTATACATTATCTCGATATACATATATAGCAAAGTTTGATATATATTTAGGAGTCTTAAGGAAACGCTTGAGGACATTGAATTAACAAGTTCCGGAAGTAAATTACCGCAAAAATTGATGTTTTAAAAGTAAAAAACCCGCAAAACAACATTTTGCAATAAACTCGAAAAAAAAGTCATTCATTTTGGTTTTTATAGCCTGTGGCGAAACGCCACTTGATGCCACTAAATGTTTTAATTCAAAGAAAGGAAAGTTAATAGCTATATAGAGTTTTGTTTTGTAAACTTTTTTTTTTTATTGCAATCAAACTGTTATATTGGATCAACCATGTGACAGTTCAATTAGCGAGACAATAGTGCACCGTGTATTATCGGAACAAAAAAACTCACAATAATTTAAGTCTATAAATCAATTGAATTAGATATTAGCCTGAATTAAAAAAATTATTATCCAAGCGTATGTAGAAAGGTGTTTTACATTCCCTTCTCACCTATAGTGTTTTACAATTTTCTTAAAAATGATTTTTTTTTAACTGCAATTAGTATTTATCTTATTTTATCTTATATATATATATGTATATATATATATATAAGATAATATATATATGTATATATATATATATAAGATAATATATATATATATATATATATATATATATATATATATATATATATATATATATATATATATATATATATATATATATATATATATATATATATATATATATATGCATAAGCATGTTATAAACAAATTAATTAAAAATCTTTTCAATATGCAACTAATAGTAACCAAAAGTAATTTAAGATAAACAAACAAATTTCTGATCTTTAGACTATTATATAATCAGAGTCATTCAACAAGAATCTAATTCTTAAACTATTATGATTATAAGTTATAATGACTTTCAAATATTTTATAATTAAATGTTTAAATATTTTTATATCATAACAGACAAAAACAAAAACTTATCGCTACACGGTTGCTTATAGTATAAGAAGACTTACAAAATGTTGGTTCAAATTTTTTACCTCTCAAAACCTAACAGTCTTTTTAGCCATTTTGCTGGAAGAAAAATTATAATGACTTTTAAATATTTTATAAATGAATTTTAAAAATAAATTTAAAAATATAAATGATACAAACAGTCTCTTAGCCATCTTGGTAAAAAAAAAAATGATAAAAATAAAACTTAAAAACTTAAATATTTATAAAAGCTTTCAAACATTATAATTTCTTTATTTTAAGTATGAAGTTCAACTTCAAAACCTAAAAATGTTGATACAACATTTAAATATGAAAAAGTGAAACAAAATTTAAATATGAAAAAGTGAAAGATTCCAAAGATTTCATACTCCGCACATTCTAAGATATTTACAGGGTAAATGATTCTACATCGTTTCCTCTAAGATATACTGAACAAAATGTAAAAATATACATTTGAATAGATGCTACATTGTTGCCTTAAAGAAATGTATAGAGTAAAGGTCATAAACTCTAAGAAAGATTGATAGTAAATTTAAAAAAGTTTAATTTTGTTCTTTCTCAACTAGTTTTTATATACATGCTTACGTTTTGTTTCAAGACTGTTTTAATAGTTTTTTTTAATTTTCATCTTATTTTGTTTTGTATGTACAGTTAAAATAAGTTTATTTAATTATTACTTTCTATAATAAAATAATATTTAAAACACTTTTCTATATCGCAAATAAATAAATAAAAAAGTGGGATTAAAGGCGTTATAAAAATTAGATTAGACGTTAAAATGATTTAAGAGGGTGAAAAAGAAATAAGAGGCGTTAGTGAAATTTATTTCTAGTTTTTTTGACACAAAATGATTATATTTTTACTTACTAAAAGTTTTGAATATATATATATATATATATATATATATATATATATATATATATATATATATATATATATATATATATATATATATATATATATATATATATATATATATAATAAAAAATCGACGATCAAGGGTAAAATTCGACGAAAAATACGATGAAAAAAACGAAAAGAAAATTCAATGAAAGTATTGAGACTTTTTGATCTTTCTTATATATGATATAAGAAAATAGCCTTGTTAATTCTGAGTTTAAATACGCTTAAATATATTGCAAATATAAAAACCCCATATTTATAAATAATTTATGATTTTAAAAAAATACAAAGTAAAAATTCTAAACAAATAATAATGAAAAAAAAAAAAGATTTGAAACTTTATTTTTTATCATGACTCCAATAATGCCACGAACAGTAGAGTATTTTTATTAGCACAAGTTGCTGCTCCTTAAAAAATTATAATTATTAGATAATAACTTTTAACCATGTTGTCTATTAAATTTTGGTTTCTAAAATTAGTGTCAATTAAAAATTGGCACAACTGGTTGTTAAACTTTATAAAACTACAAATTACAAGATTTTAACTCTGTAACGGCGTATTTAAATTGGTTGTGTATTGCGAAAGCTATTTGTTAACTAACAACATGGACATCAATTTTTAGATAAAACAAAATCCTGGTTTTTAGTTGGTAAACATTAGCAACAGAGTTTCTTATTTAATGTTTGATCAAACACCTTCTGGCACGCTGAATTCATATCTTATAGTTCAGGTGGTATTTATTGTGACTATTGCCAATCTATAGAGAGATTTAGCATTCTGCGATCAGACTTAATTAGGCCAAAATACATATTTACTTGATTGACGTTCATTTTGCTTGGTCTAACCTGGATTTTACTCACACTTTTTGGTAAAGTAGCAAACCAAACAGTAATTTGTGTTTTATCTTTTAATTTTGTAATGATTGACATTAAACGGTGTCCGAGTCATTTAAACAACACGCGATTCATTACAAGCTCGGAGCAAATTATCTAGTGTGAAATAATGCCTTTATCAATAATAAAATCATAACTTTTATAGTTTTGAAATAATCACATTCATAAAGAACGACCGATTGGATATATAGGGGAGTTCTCCTCTAAAGGGGAGTTCTCCTCGGACTTTTTGAAACCACTTAAGGAATTCTTCAATATTTCTAAAATGTTTTAGTGGCTACGACTAATTTTTTTTAGGACAAAAGTGTAAAGATGATCTTAGCTACTCTGCAGATAATATCAGATACAGGGGCAGGGACCTTTTTTTTTACACCTTTTTAACCCCCTCCTTGTCACTCGCTAAGGAGGGCGCTAAAAAGGTGTAAAAAAAAAAAAAAAAAAATGGTCCGCATATTTATATTTATAAGTAACTTTTATTTTTAATTTTGTGTACTTTAGAGTTATAATCAAGTTCATATACGTATAATTCCGTATATTAGTCAATTTCATTCGTCAGTATAATCGTCCAATTGTGTATAATAGTAAATTTGCAAAAAATATTTCTGAAAAAAATACCGAGGGGTGGGGGGTACTACCCCATGCCCCTGCCCCCTTCCCTAAAAACCGCCACTGGTCAGACAGATGTAGTAATCTTTTACCTAAACAAATATTAATCCTCAAAGATGTAAGGAAGTTATAATTATTAAAACATTTTTTATTTTTTTGTTAAATTTAACTGAGATTTAACTAAAAGTAACTTATGTGGTATTTAGTAACTTTAAAACATAGTAAGTTCTCAGTTTTACTTTTCTTTAAAGGAAGTAAAAATTTCAAGACGAAAAACTGTGTTTTAGACAAAAGCAAATATTGTTGTTTTTTTTTTCTTTAAAAAATCAATAGCAAAAAGCAAAAGCATGGTTTTATTTCCTGTTTAACAAATATCCAATGATTTGTGATTATCATATATGTACAATTAGGAAAAAATAATAAAATAATAAGGTTTTGATTAAGAAATTTGTTACTTATATCCGCCATGCTTGGAAATTACATATCTAGCTCATTCAAATAAAACACATAGATTGGGAAGATATTCTGAATAAAAGATTATGGCAAGCAAACAGAAAAGATGTTTGCGGAAGAATCAAGTTTGTTTCCCGTTTTAAGCAATATACTAATTGACTTCAATACAACCAACCACCATAATAGTAATAAACAATTATTTATGCATTTAGAAATATTGAAAAAGACGAAGGAAAAAAAAAAAAGAAAAAAAAAAATCGAAGGGAAAAATGAAACCTAATAAAACTATTCGAGTAAAAAATATTTCTTTTGTAAGCATTTCTGAGCATTACCATCGTAAGCATTTCTAACCATAATTACTTATGTTGTAATTCAAAAATATTCTCTATTTAAAATTACTCGCGCATATACATTTTAGAAATTGCTTTCAATAGCAACTTTTGCAACATACGATTAAAGCATCCACCCGAAACATGCTAAGGCTGCGTGATCTCCATACTACCTAGTGAAACTCAGCAACCATGCCGAAATTCCATTTAGTTGTTCGCAACTTTTATTGGTAGCGGCGTAAATTCGCGCGCTTTTAACCCAGGAGGTGATTTTTTAAGTTTTTACGTAAATTTTCAAAAAACAAATAGCATATTGAAAACTAGAAAGTAAATTTAATAAACTTTATTAGTTTGTAAACATTCCTGAGTTTATTTTAATGTAAAATTTTTGTCAATTTAATATTTTTCATATATAAAAATACAAAATGTTTAGAAAAGTAAATAATAATTTCCTTCTAACGATTGATATCGTACTTTTTTCAATATTTTGATTTTAATCACACATTTTTAGAAATTATTTTTTATGTTCATTCAAATAAACTATTAGCTTTTTTTTTAAAACCCCCGTCTAACGAGATTTTTTCATATGCATATTTAACATAGAAAAACCAATAAGTATTGTTAGATCATGCACTATTCTCCAAGGCGATAATTTTTTTTTTCGCGATAAAATATGTTTTTTCTTTTGACGCTATTTCAATTGGCTAAACAATACGCATTACAAAACTTCAGCAACGCAATCAGGCTAATTATGCGTTTAATTCCATTGTTTTAAGTTACGCATAATTGAATACTTAACAATGTTTACAACGATAATTGTCGGTATGTACTACGACGCTTTATATATGATTATGTGACGAGCTTTTAAGAGCTATGGTTCATTGATTTTGGGTTAAGAGCGAAACCGTAAACGGATGAGAAAAGCTTCTCAGCACAAATTCACTTATATCAAGTAATAAGGCGAGAAAACTTATTTATTTTTAAAACTTACAAGGAAGTATTTAACGTTGGAATAAAAGAGTTATTTTTCACAGTTCAATAAAAATTGGTTAATACTTTATGATTACATGAATTTTATAGCAAAGTAGCTAGTAGTTTTTATAAACAACACACGTTATTAGTTTTTAAAAATTTACCACCATAACGCGCCTACATAGTATTCGAATTAATAGGGACTATATCAGAATGGGTTCAAGGATAAGCTCTTCAAAACGAACCGCTGAAACTTTTAACAACGGTAAAGAATCCAAACTTAAAAGACGTTTAGGAAAACATTCAGGTAAACGTGATATTTTAAATCACAACGAAAACTGCTTTCCTCGTCCAAGAAAGTTAGAAATGCTGTTAGATAGACCTGAAGCTTCTCGTTGTGTAAAAGAGCAACACGGCTGGAATGCTGAAGATCGTAGTATGAACATTTATGTAAAAGAGGATGACTGTAGAATTTCACATAGACATCCAGTTGCGCAAAGTACCGATGCTATTAGAGGAAAAGTAGGTTATTCAAAAGGATTACACGTATGGGAATATACATGGTCAACCAGACAGCGTGGTACTCACGCAGTTGTTGGTGTTGCTACTGCTAAAGCCATTTTACATTGTGCCGGGTATCATTGTCTTGTAGGAGCAAATTCAGAGAGTTGGGGATGGGATTTAGGCAGAAATAAATTATTTCATAATGAAAAAGCAGTATTATCACAGACTTATCCAAAAAACTTAGGATCTGATGCTAATTTTATTGTCCCTGACACAATTAGATGTATTTTAGATATGGACGTAGGAGAGTTAAGTTTTGAAGTTGATGGACAATTCCTCGGAGTCGCGTTTACTGGTCTTAAAGATAAAACCGTTTATCCAATTGTATCTGCAGTTTGGGGACATTGCGAAATTAAACTCGACTATATTGGTGGTTTAGATCGTAAGTTTACTTTTCTAATTCACTGTTTTTAAATTTTTATTCGTTTTAGTTTATTTAGTGATATAACCTTTTGTTTTATTTTGTTTGTAATTTCGTTAAAGTCATGAAAAAACATGAGAAATTATTAATGATGTATTTAAACGACAAATAAAAAAAGCGTTATCAATAATATTAAAAATAACGTTTAAAAACATTCAACAAGAGTTAAAAATTTTAAAAAACAAATAAAAGTTAATGTCAATGAATGCTTTCTTAACTTAAGTAAACACGAAAACGAAGCGAGTATATTGGATTTTTATTTCAATAAAAAATCTCTAAATTTCGTAACAAATTTTTTTTAAATAAATGATTTAAATTTTAACAGGTTTTTTTTTTTAATAAAATTTCGGAAATTTCAAAAGTTTGAAAGTATCCAGTAAGTTAAGTGCTAAAAAACGTTTATTTAATAAATTTAAAAAAATGCAGTCATTAAAGTCAAAACAATGATAACAATGAATCAGGAAGTGTGCGGTACTAGTTGACGGTAAAGCGGATTAAGTTTATTGATGACGTAAAAATCACTTTCATAACAAATCCAATCTATAGTGGAGAATGGAAATAGCCGTCATTAAAATTCAAATAACTATTACCGGTGAATCATGACTAAGCGGGAGGTATTTAGTGTTTTTTAAATTTTGTTGACAATATGTTTTAAAGTTTTTTTACCCCCGTTTGAAAATTTATTTTTCTAGTCGATAAAAAAAGTTTAAATACGACGTTTTGTTCTTTCTTTAACGTGTTCTCTAAACACGTTTTTCTGCACGCGGTTGTTCAACGTGCTTTCAAACCTTTCTAAATTAACATCTGTAAAAACATTTGACGCATGAGAGAATTAAACTTCGACAAGCGTTATCTTTTAAAATTGTTTTGAATGATTTCTTTTTTAAAGCTCGAAGAATAGGTTTTGATTGCAGCGCGTTCTTTTAAATGTTGCGCTTGGTTTTAGAAATATTATTCTGTTCGCTTTTATTTGTTAAGATATTGTTTCTTAGCTCATTGAAAAAGTGAAAAGCTTTTACAATGAGTTCAAAGTAGTTTTAATTTAGAAAATTAGAAAGAACCTCATTCTCATGTTAATTAACGCATTAATTTTTAGCTGAACCGCTACCGCTGATGGATTTATGCCGGCTCAAAATACGTCAACAAGTTGGTAAAGAGAATATGACCGAAGAGACATTAAAAAGCTTCGATATTCCGCGGCAAATGAGAGATTATCTTATCTATAAATGGTAACAAATTTAAACCACCGAAATATTTGCTCCATACCGAACAAAAAAAAAATGACAAACAGCCGATACGGGGTTTTCTTTCTAGTTTCATCGCTGGAATTCTCATTATCTAATTACCCGATGGAAGATTATGATGTGAAAAAAGACTACCGTCTTCACCAACTTCGAAGTTGTTCAAAATTCGATTGAAATCGACGCTTGCTTGCTGTTCGTTTTAAATGGTGAAAATGTTCCTTTGAGAAACGAAGTAATAGACATAATTTAATTTTGCCAAATTTTCAACAAAACGTTCCTGAGTACAAAACGATCTGTTTGATGGTCTTCAATTATGAGATGTTTTATTTTTTCCAACGCTGTTGCAATTGCAAAAACTTTTCTTCGATCGATTCTTTCCTAATTTAACAGAACGGAATATATGTTTATTTTATATTCTTGAAAAAATAAACGTTTTAAAAAATGTTTGAAAAAACATTTTAAAATCATTAAAGTTTAAGAAACTAATAATTTATATGTAGTATAATAATTTAAGAAGTTATATATTTATTATTACGTCCATTCTTTTATTGGACAAATTTTCAAAAAAAAAATAAAACCAGTTTGTTAAAATCCATTTTTAAAAGGGCATTTTTGTGACTCCAAGTATTTTTGATCTCGATGATCATTTAAAATATAGGAATCTTCCATTCATTTTTTCATAGCTTCATCAAACATAATAACTTTATTATTAAAAAAAGATTTGCATAAATAAGATTTTTTAGTTGTAATTTTAAAGGATATTGTTTCAAAAAAACTATTCGTATAAGTTGTAAATATATTTTTTATAATAGTTTGTTTCTATAACTATTGATTGATTTCATTCTCATCCATAAGCAGAGATTCGCCACAACCATGGGGTCCGCCACAACCATGGGGAACTTGCTTTTTTTCAAACCTGAGCGTAGCTAAAAATGCTTTTAATGTGATTTTAGGAATTTAATTAAATTAAATAGTTTACAACTGGTGCAAGCTTTGCGTATTTAAATTTTTTTTATAAAACAACGATAAATTATAATGTTTTGAAACAACTGTCTTGTTTAAAGCTTTAAGTTGATTAAACACTACTGTTTTTCGAAAAGTAAAATGTTTTTGCATTCTAATGATGATAAGTATATAATATATTTTAATGTAATAAGTAAATCTTCGTGATTTGCAGATTTCCTTAATTTAAATTGCGGCATTTTTTTATGCACAAAACTTTTTTAGCAACTTTTTTTTCAGGGATAAACACGATTAACAAACCTAAGACTTGTAACTAGACATCACCCTATATGAAGTGTATTAGTACCACATATTGTTTTAAGTTGTTAATGCTTTATTCCAAACTTTGCTTTATCGTTATCCTTTTTTTTAATGATAAAATGGATAGATGTGTCTTCAGCTCTCGGAATATTGACTCTTTGTGTGTGAGGTAAAGGGAGTGTTTGTGTGTGTGTTATAATGGTTTAGAAATTCATTTTATATAACTCCTTAGAGTCTGTAAGGTGTTGTAAGATTTAAATAGGAGTCACTGGTGTTGTTAGAGTGTTTTGCTGGTTGATGTTTGATGATAAATCATCCAGGTTGAGGATTATTAAGCTCAGATAAAATTGAGAAAAATTGTATAAATGTTTTGTAGTTTGTTTTTTGGATAGATCAATTTTTATCAAGCGAAAATCAAGAAATCTTTTGAAATCCAGATAGTATTTGTGTTTATATAAACGCGTCACCGAAAGTTTTTTAGTTATAACTGATTTAATCCTAAATTTTTTAAATGGTAATACGCTGCATAAAATTTTGTAAGTAGTTTCTGCCTATGACTATATATTTATATAGTTTCTAACTAGTTTAGCGCGACATGATAAATTTGCATCTATTAGTTTAGGTATAAAGAACAACTGGTAACATATTAGTCTGATGATATTTTTAATGCAAAGCAATTAACAACATTGCAAGTAACATGTAACGTTTCAACTTGACTTAAATTTTGTAAATAAGATATTCGGTAGTCCCTCTAGACACCACACTAGTCTTTGTCTAAGTATGATATTGATTTATGAACAACGAAGTAGCAGACTGGTATTTGCAGCGTTCACACAATTACCAAACGTGTGACAAACTTAATTGTTTTCAATCAATTTTATAGGATACTTTGTGCCACGCTGCAAATTATATGCTTTTTACATTTTTTACCTGAAAATCCAAATTTGTCAAAATTCCACAAATTGCGCGATGTATTAATATAAGCTATAAAACATTTATTCTGGCGTAACTTTTTTATTTGATTCAAGAAAAAACCTTAACTGTTACTCTGGCTTATGACTTCATTATTTTGTGAAAATATGATATCATACTTATCCAAACAATACTGTTTAATAGATGCAGATGACATTTTATATTGTAGCTACCAAATAGCTTCCAACTTTTGCAACGACATCTACGACTGTTTTAATAAATCTGCATATAGCTAAACTGATACTAGCGGAAATTTGTTTTGTAAAAGATGTCTTAATAATAAATGTTTTTGGAATGTTCTGAGGGTCTTTGAAATGTTAAAAAGAGGTTTTTTTTGGATCAAATTCACGCTGGGTTAAAACCTTTAGTAATCGTGTATAGGTTAAAACCTTTACAATTGCTTCAAGAGCTGTCCATTTATTACGTCAACAAATTTTTTGAAATTATTACCTCCCCCTCCCCTTTGTCAACAATTTGTCAAATTTCCAGAGACCCCCATATAAAACTACATCAACTTTTGATTACCCCCCCCCCCCCCCCCCTCTTATACAAAGAAGCTACGCTACAAACTCAGCCAAATTTTCCGTTATTTAAGCAATGAAACTCAAAAAAAAAAAAATTGTTTACATCAACTTTAATTGACCTCCCCCCTCCCCCTTTTCAACAATTGTCAAAAAGTTTAGGCCCCCTCCCCCTATTTTGTTGACTAATTAATGGACAACCCCTTAAAGCCTTTAAACAATGTTTAAATTGATTAAATTGTGTCTAAGTTAAATCCAAGTTGTCAACGACGTCAGTCGTTTACTTATTACTAAGTACATAGTCTACAAAATTGAAAATTTTGTATAGCATCTGTTACATTATTTACATCTTTTTTAAACCACTTTTTAAAGCCATCATAATTCCAAATTGATTTGTAAAAGTACAGTTGTTTCTTTAAATCGGTAAGCATTGATAAGTCCCACTTTCATGTGATAGATATTAAATTAACAAAGAAGAATTATTTCTTTTCGCAAATGTAAGAAATAAATAAAAAGTCAAAATTAAAAATCAATGAACAAAAGGCATACTATGACATTAAGGGAAAAATGGGTATAGACACCATTATGCTGAAAACAGAAGAAAGTATGCTGTGATTATTGAATGATTGTTGGATCTGGGAATGCTGCAGTGTCTTATTTTACTCATCAAATTTTCGTATTCGTTTCGTATTCATTTCTTATTGTGCGGCCGTGGCGCAGTGGTTAGAGCGCTTGCTTTATAAGCTGGAGATCCAGGTTCGAAACAAGCTTTAGACATATTTCGCGTCACGGTAAGGAAGGAGGCGTGAACTTCCTGGTTAAATGCGCTTCCGCGGTGCTCTGTGAAAAGACCGTTAGGACTTTTTGGGGCACCTAAATAACAAATTTAAAAAAAAAAAAAAAGTATTCATTTGTTGTATTCTTTCCTTACTATTCCTTAGTAATCGTAATACAATAGGGTATATTCACAATATCATTAAAGTTCATACTTATTGCTGTTAATATAACTAAAATATTAAAATTACAGAATTGTTGAAAAAAGACAATTTGTTGTATAAAAATCTGAACTTAAAGACTGAGTTTTTTTTATTTTTAGCTGAAATTTACGTGTAAAGATAAAACTTTTATAAGACAATTTCAAAATATAACAGTGCATAGCATAGTTTTGCAATGGTGAAAATGTTTTTGTTAAACTTTACCCTAAATCTCAAATGTGCAGAAACTAAGAAACAGTGATGTTAGCTCAAAATGTGGGTTTATAAAATTTATAAACCCACAGAAAAGCCTGCTATGACTGTTTTTTTTTTTACAATGATGTTCAAACGAAAAATTAAAATTAAGTGTACGCTTTTTTTTCTTCTACTTATCCAGATATTCTGTAAAGGTATTTTAATAATAAAACTTTATTAAAAAAAAAAAAAACCTTCAAAAATTGAGCACATTTGTGTATGTGATGTAAAGCCTAGTTCAATTCTGACAGGAATTAATCAGAGTAGCCGTTCAACCATAACAAATCATAATTTATATTAACCAATCATAACTCAGTTATGTTTTCGAGTTGAAGAACTTTGACAGAAGCTCAAAACATTAAAAGGGCTGAAGATAGTTGTTTTAATGATTTGATGAAGGAATGAATGCTTTTAAATCTTTCATTTTTAAATGCTAGATTTAAAAACACAACCCCTGAGATTAAATACAGCATAATCTGACATAAGGTTATATTGCAAAGGGCAAATTAACTCAAATTTACTCAAATTTATTCATTTTTTTAAAGATTTTTTAAAGATTCAGATTAAGTAAAATTGTTTGAATAAATATGAAAAATTTAAACCCTGCTATAAAAATCTGATGATGATACATGGTATTACATATTTAATAAGTTTTCTGTAAGTTTTAACTAAAATTGACAGTAAACTTTTAATAAAAATATGGCGGAGCATAAAATAAAGCAAATCACTTGAGCGAAAAAGTATAAAACGCGTCATAAATATTTAATAGGAGTTTTTTTGATTTGGCAGGTTATATACATAGTAATAAGTAAATATACTCTTTCAAAAAACACCGACATTTTCAAATAACCTCTAATTAAAACTAAGCGTGCTTAGATAAAACAAAAAGTTCTCTGTAATACTATTTATTTAATAATAACTTTATGTTTTAGTGTTCAATAAATCCACGAGAAACAAAATTCAATTTTTTGGTTTTTGTTTACTTTAAACTTTCGTCTTTACCTTGCAATTATTTTTTGACAACTTGCGACAACACACCGCTTATGACAACACACTGCTTGTGACAATACACTGCCTGTGACAATGCGAAAGAAAGCTTTACAAATAGTTTAAGAATAAAATTTGGAGTTATTAATAAAAAAAATTTCTTAAAGTTGTGAAATAATAATAATGATAATAATAATAAAATTAAATATGTGTTAAGTTATTTTATATAATTTTTAAAAGTATTTTTTTACTAACCTGCAATAAAAAGTGAATTTGGAAACATTTAAGTATAGTAAACTCAAAAGCATCATATAGTTAAATATAAAAATAAAGTTAAAAATTAAAAGATCGTAGAAGCTAAATATTTAGTGATTACTTTTGGTTTCAGAGTAGTCACTAAACGTAGTTCCATCAAGTAAAGCTTAAAATAAAAAAATGACCCAAAAAAAAATTGTTATTTGTAATGACAGTAATGAAAGTTGTCTGAGCCTCACAAGACCTAATACTTACAACACTTCTCATATTTTGGCATCAAATGTTTCTTTAGTATTTTGTAATACAAATAAATTAAAAAACACTTAGACAAAGAAAACCAGTGTATTGTTATTTGATTTATTTAAAGTATAATTACGTAATGCAATGTATTCCCAAATTTGAAGTTAAAGTTTTTTTTTTATATAAAACATGGTGAAAATAATTGGAACTGCAAATTTTTTTTATTTGTTTTTCAATATTAGCCATATTTCATCTTTATGTTGCTCATGAAGAAGCATTTTTATAAGTAAAGAAAAAAAAAAACAAAAAAACAAAAAAAACATGTACACCAAAGATTTGAATAAAACATTTAATCTAA